CAATGAACACCCATAACGCACAGACATAACAATTCAACATGTGTAATTGGAAATATTAACTAACCAGGTGAATTGAAGTTGAAGGTACCAACGATATCAGTGGCGACCTGGGATAATGTATCTAAAGGTTGCATGGTTGACGAGCTGTTCGGGTCACTATCAGACATTAGAAGTGAAGATAAAGCATTTGTATTGACGGATAGTCCACTGTTGATACAGGAAAGTCTGGAATATTATGTATCAACTGTTAATAATTTATGGACAACAAATAAATCTTTATGACACAAATCATATTTCTGGTTATAAATGAGCCAAATTTAAGTTCAAGCAATTGATAGAAAATAAAGAGCAAGTGGAAAACCTAGTGTCATCCGATACTCGATACGTACTTGCTTTTCCTGGTGATTTATAAGCACATTCATCAGTTAATCTTTCTTCTGCAATAAATTAATGACACTGATTAGTGAATTCCAAGAAATAAGCACTCGAAATACTTTTTGGATCAAAAATTTCCTGAGGGAAAAAAATTAAACCTCTATAAAAGTAACAAACAGTGGAATCGATTTGAGGGAAATATAAAACAATGCTCATAAAGGATTTCGCCATTTAAAAATTATAACATTCAAAAATCTATTTAATATAAAATTCATCTTTTAAGGGAAATTTGAAGAAGTACTGCATTAGATGGTCATCAGATGATCAAAATGACAGTTAAAACATAAACCCATCAATAATTTCCTGAATTCAGCATACAATAATGAACCATATACGGCGTCACGTTGTTTAAAATCAATTTCACGCATTTGGATCAATACCATACCAGTACAGTTTGCAAATTTTTGCATTTCTAAATCTTCGAATGGTATACCATTCCGTCTAGCAACATTTAATAACCATGCAATAACATCACCCATTGTCCACTCCTGAAATGATAAGCCAATTTTATTGTCATTTCATTTTCCCATTGTATTCTCGTTGTTTTACATTTCCTTTCAGTCATTCAAAATATTTTTGTCCTTTTTACTTCCCTTTCTTCCTTCCTTCCTTTCATTTAGCTAAAAATAATCATACTTTTTTGATGTGTCATTAGATAATAATGCAAATAAAAAGAACGAATGTACTTCAAAATGAAAACATTTTTTCTTCTCTGCTAATATTACTTCATATCTTCTCCTTTGTCTCCTCCTTCTCATTTTCTTTCTCTTTCTTTTCTTCTTTTTTTTTTTTTTTACATTTTCCTATCGCAAATATTATTAAAAAAGAAAAAGCATACTTACTTCTAGTAAACAAGGCATAATTTCCCTTACTTTTCCATTTTTTTTTTTTTTCATCAATGTAATTAAACGATGATAAATTCACGGGATAAAAGCTAATTATCATTTAATTGATTCCCTAACACATGCATAATCAATGTGTTAAGAGAGAAAATTTCAGCAGATTATTATCTTAATTTGAAGAAAATGGATGACTGATTACTTTTCAACTGCATCCCATTATCATCCTTTAGCGTGTTATTTATCGTACTTTAATGGTGGAAAAAAAAACTTCTCATCATTATATTTGAATTTATTTTCTTCCAACTTATAATTACACAAATGAAGGAGTTTATTTCCGGTTTCCAATTTCATTTATTAAAATATAATTAGTATGAAATATTTCCACCTGTGGTTCTTTCGAAAGAAATCGTGTTAGATCAACACGCTCATTGTTCGGTATTGGCTTAAATTGTGTAGCTGCTGGATTCATATGGGTTCGTAATATTTCACCTCCAAAATGATCAAATAGCGCCGGTAAGCACATCAGCGACGGATTGAACGCTGCTGCAGCAATCGGCGCTACCGGACTTATTGCAGTATGCTTCTCTGCTGTGCAAGCCTGTAATCATGATCGTAATATCGGAATGATTTATCTAATTTGAAAAAAAAATGTACACGTTTTTATTTTTTCATTTACTTATACATGCTTCCAAGATGAATTTACATGATAAACGGATAAAAAATATTAAATAGGTTGAAAAAGTCATCGGAAAATTAAATGACTGGAAAAGATTAGAGAATATTGATATTCCACCAAAAGTGTAACTAATGCTTAGAAAGATGGTAGAGTTATGGGATGACAAGATTAGATCATTAACTAAATTTAACATACCGAGAAATTTCTCTCTCCAAATATTTGTCGAGAAGTAAAAGAAAAAGAAACTTTTTCAGTTCAAAAATAAAAGCATCCACCAGTAATTAGTTATGCTAACAGAACAGGAGATACGGTGGTGTGCTATAAGAAAATGTCTCGGAACAATAGCGGGGAAGTAATTCCGAGAATGATTTTCAGATGACAAACATATCGCAAATATATCACAAAACATATCGCATTAACAGTAAACTATAATGAATTTCTTATAATTCTATCATTTTTTTCAATCACTTCATATAATCGCAAAGATACAATTAATTCCTAATTTTTTTCAATCATTTCCGGAAAGAATAGTATATTATTTCCGGCAAATATTTCATCATTTATTTTTCCCACTTGATATGTCTACCGTTTCGAAGAGGAAATATGGATGGAGTCCTTTCAATAGCTTGACACTACACGCCATTTGTCAATATCAGTCATCAATAGTAAATAGAGTGTTGAAAGTATGATTCATGAAGTGCCGGAAAATTTTTTTTTTTCTCCTTTAAATGTGTTTGAATATAATGCCACAAATATCTAATTAGGATTAATTAGGGTTAATTGAAGCAAGAGAACATTCGAACAGACAAACAAAACATAAAGAATGAATAGAGATGGAAGTGTTGCATCCGGCTTGAATAGCTGTCAAATTTCAGATCTCTTTGAAGTATCACAAGTCGCTACCGTATCCGTATCCGATCATCTCTACTTTTACAATTGTTTCATTTTGATAGTAAACGGTAATTCCACGTAAGCCATACGTATAGTGCAAAATATTCCGCTTACCTCTTGCATTCGGTATTCATTTACTGAAGAAAAGCATCAAATACCTTGAATACCTTGAAGCTTTTGGTAATTACTATCATACATTGATTATTATTAGTTAAACCATGGATAGATAAGTAATAATTCATCAGTGGAGAATACCTTATATGGACATGCTCCATTTATTAGTATTCAAAGTCAAATCTTTTCATGGCTTGTTTATTTTCACTAATAACCAATGCTTCGTCCATACTTTGACCCATAAATTGATCATTTTCATTTTTTTTTTTTTTAATTCATTTAATAACATCTAGTCAGTAATATAATACATTCCATAACAATGCAATATGTTTACCATATGAACCCATTGTAATTACAAAAAAAAAAAAAGAAAAACGTGACACATTTA